GTTGGCAATGATAGTGGCAATGGGGGGAGTTTCCTGATTAACTACCCCCGATTTTATCTGGGAACCATCAGCCAAAAAGATGTTGAAGCCCTTCTGTCTGTGTTGGAGAGGGATACCCTGTTGGTGAGCAAACTCTAGATCCAGGAAACAGCTGCATGCCCCCGAATCAACTATGGCTGTCACCTCCACGATCTTTCCTGGAAGCTGAAAGGAGAGGGGCACTACTAAGTATTGCGAAGGACAGGTATTGCTAATAGACAAGGAAGAAAAACGGGTGCACTTACTCATTTTCTGAGGGCAGGATCGCACCATATGACCAGCTTCACCGCAGTAAAGGCAGAGGTTCTGGGCTCGTCTGCGCTGGCGTTCCTCCGGTGATAATTTAGGCCGTGCCAGACCTAGCTGCATAGGTTCCGGAACATCTCCTGGTGGTGGGTTCATGATGCTTTGTCGGGTTGGTGGGCTGGGGCCTAGGAATGGACCCCAGGTATTTCCGCGACCCTGGCCGGACCTCTCAAGCCTGCGTTCCCGCAGTCTTCGGTCAATCTTAATTGTCAGGGCAATAAGGTCTTCTAGAGACTCGGGAACCTCCACCCGGGCCAGCTCATCTTTCAAGGGATCGGAGAGCCCCATACGGAACTGGTGCAATAGAGCGAACTCATTCCAGCGTGTGTCCCCCATCCACCGCCTGAAATCAGAGGCGTATTCCTCTGCCGCCCGCCGGCCCTGTCGGAGCGCATATAGGTCGCTTCGGCAGAGGCTGCCCGCTGTGGGTCATCATACAAGATGGCCATTGCTTCAAAGAAACTATTGACCGATCCCAGGTGAGGATCATTGTTTCCCCTTAGCCGGTGGGCCCAATCCTGGGGTTCACCCTGTAGTAGTGAAATAATGAATCCTACCTTCACGTTTTCGGTCAGGAAGGTACGGGGTTGTAGCTCAAAGAACAAGAGACAGGAATCACGGAATGACCGGAAGCGTGTGCGGTCCCCGTGAAAACGCTCCGGTAGGGGTACTCGGGGTTCTGCCATAGGGAGCGGGGCGGAAGCCCCTGAGACTGGCTCCTGACCTACCAGGGCCGGGGGTGCAGAAACCGGGGCCTGTGGGGCAGGGTCAGAAATAGAGCCAGTCTGGATGCGGTTCTCCAGCTGCATGCATCTGTCCTGCAGGACCGTTACGGCCTGCGTCAAATTAGCTAGGTGCCTGCAAATTTCCTCTAGCGGGGAGGGCCCTCCTCTAGGCTCAGTCATGGCCTTTTGGTACTGTAAGGGACCGCCCGGCGGTACCACTAGCACTCCACTGATCGGATGTTCCCAGCGCACGGAGTCTAAGCCCCAGAGTACTTGTTCACCAGGGCCCCTGATGGTGGGGATGGACTTGGAGTACCCCAGGACCAGGTCGTGACTACTGAGGACACCCGTCAGTGGTAGGGGTATTCGCCAGGGGCTCCCACGGGAGAGAGCCAGGTATGAGGAGGTCTGGAGACCCCGTAGAGAGGGACGGATGGATGGATGGATGGCTGAGCAGGAGCAGGGTCATACAAGCTGGGTCGGTAACTATGGGGACGGTGCGGTACAGAGCAGCGGGCAGAGAATAGTCGGGTCACACGCCAGGTCAGCAACAGCAGGTCAGATCCAATAGGGGGCATTCAGGAGAGAGGTCAGGCAAGCAAGGGTCAAGAACAGGAGAAAACAGCAAGGTCAGGGCACAATCCGGGTCAGCAACTTACTTCAAACAGGTTCACAGGTTCACAGGATACAAGAGACCAAAAGGCACTGAATGACAGCTCAGGGCCGTTTTAAATACCCCGCCCTGCGCTGTCATTGGTGCCAGGCGCGCGCTCGAGCCCCGCGGTCACCACTGCGCATGTGCGAACCTGATTTCCGCGGTCGGCCAAGTCCCGGCGCTCGCGTACAGGGAGGTGTACTGCGCCTGCGCCGAGCCCAGCGGCGCGACGATCTCTGACATGCCGTTTGGACTATGTAATGCCCCTGCTACATTTCAACACTTTGTAAACAATATCTTTAGAGAGTACCTTGACCTTTTCGTAATTGTCTACCTGGACGCTATCCTAATTTTCTCTACCTCACTGGAACTCCATCGAGATCATGTTAGGAAAATGCTAAACACTCTAAGGATGCATGGCTTGTACGCAAAGGCGGAGAAGTGCGAGTTTGAAAAGCAGTCCATCCAGTTCCTGGGGCTCATAATTTCCACTGAGGGAATCTCCATGGACCCTCAGAAAGTATCTGCTATCCTGGAATGGCCTGCACCTTCAGACAGTAAAGGGGTCCAAAGATTTGTGGGCTTTGCCAATTTCTATCGGAAATTTATTAAGAGCTTTTCCACCATCATTGTGTCAGGGGAGGAACGCTGGAATGGGCAGGCAGGCCTATGGTACGGTCATGCTGCGACTGACGACAGCCACTACCCACAGACCAGAGTCCCTCAGGGCGCGGAGTCTAAGCCCCAGGCTACCCTTCACCAGGGCCCCTGATGGTGGGGATGGACTTGACGCAGCCTGAGACCAGGTCGCGGCCCCCGAGTGACCCCAGCTGCGATAACGACTGCCGCCAATGGCGTACAGCTGGTGGGAGCTAGATGGGAACACGAGTAGAGTAGTCAGACAAGCCGGGTCAATAAAAACGGAGCAGACAGTACTAAGAGACGGTAGGCAAAGAATACTCAGGTCACGGGCCGGGTTCAGCAACGGGAGGTCAGATAAAGGGTTAACGCAGAGAGTAGTCTTGTCCAAGCCGAGTCGGTTACCAGGAGAGCAATGGGAACAACACAAGAGCTTGCAACAGGGCAACATACAGGACACAAGTGCAGAGCACACTTGCAGACAGCAGGTTTAAATGTGCTCAACCACACCCTTCTGAGGAGGAGCCGCAGAAGCCTGAAGGCATAAAAGGTTCCCACCATGCTTTGCAGAAAACCAAGATGGATGCCAGCTCATGGAGATGCACAAGCTCTGAAGAAGGGTAAGACCTTGACAGGACCTCCTCCTCAAGGGCCCTCCCCCTCCGTGGCTCAACAAAAAGGTTTCTGAGGAAATCGGGCGTGAAAAGCGCGGAGGAGGGCAGGAGATGAACATCCGCGGAAGGAACCCAGGAACGTTCCTCGGGACCATTAACCACACCAATGGACCAAAACTGTACCCGACCGCGGACCAACCGAGAATCCAAGATGCGGCTCACCTCATACTCCTCATGGCCGTCGACCCTGATAGGACGAGGCCGAGGTGGAGAGGCAGTAAAGCGATTACAGATCAGAGGTTTCAACAGGGATACGTGGAAGACTTTGGAGATGTGCATCCCAGGAGGAAGAGCAAGGGCATAGGCAACCGGGTTCACCCTGCGAAGAATGCGGAAAGGACCAACAAAACGGGGGGCCAGCTTTGGTGCGGGCACCCGAAGCTTGAGGTTGCGAGTGGACAACCACACCCGATCTCTGACCTGGTATGAGGGAGTGCGGGCAATCGTCTACGATCATGCCCTGGAGCTTCTGGGCTGTGCTGAGTCCTTCAAGGACCTCTGAATCTGCCCCATGAGGAGCGCAGAGCAGCCAGGTGGTTATCCACAGCTGGAATGTCCTGTGGAGAGAACAACTCAGGCAATACAGTGGGTTGGAACCCATAGTTGGCCATGAAGGGGGACATCCCAGAGGAGGAGTTGACAGCCGAGTTCCTCGCAAACTCTGACCATGGCAGGAGATCGACCCAGTTGTCCTGATGATCCGATTATATAGCAAACGAAGGAATTGTTCCAGGGCCTGGTTGGAACGCTCCGCAGCCCCATTGGACTGAGGGTGGTAGGCCGAAGAGAAGGAAAGCTCGATACCCAACTGGGAGCAGAAGGAGCGCCAGAACCTGGACACAAACTGGCTCCCACGGTCCGAGACAATCACCTTGGGCAACCCGTGCAAGCGAAAGATCTCCTTGGCGAAAACCATAGCCAGTTTCTCTGCAGTCGGCAATTTCTTGAACGGAACGCAATGGGCACATCTTAGAAAAAACGATCAATCACCATAAGAATGACCGTATGACCTTGAGACGCAGGAAGATCCACAATAAAATCCATTCCCAGGTGTGACCAGGGACGCTCCCCATTGGGAATGGGTTGCAGAAGGCCCAATGGAAGGTGCCGAGGAGATTTATTCTGGGGGCACAGACCGAACAAGCTGCTACATATGAGGCGATGTCAGAAACGGAGAGATGGCCACCAGAATAACCGAGAAACGACCCAGGACAATTGGTTCCTACCAGGATGACCGGCAGTCTTGGAATTATGGTAGGTACGTAGCAAGCGGGTACGCAATCCCTCAGGTACAAAACATCTTCCAGCAGGTCTCTCAGGGGGAACGTTAGTTTGAGCCGCCAAAATCTGCTTCCCAAGGGGAGAAGTCAGGTTGGTATGAATGGCAGCCAGGATCTGGTTTGGAGGAATGACCGAGGTCGGCTCAGTGTCCTCCCTGGGACAGCTCAGAGTATTGCCGCGACAAGGCATCAGCCCTGACATTCTTTTGAACCGAAGGCAAGTAAGAGACCACATAGTTAAAACGTGACAAAAACAGAGCCCACCTGGCCTGACAGGGTGTCAACCTCTTAGCCTCCGAGAGATATGTGAGGTTTTTTGTGGTCAGTGAGAACTAGGACCGGGACCACAGAACCCTCAAGCAGGTGCCTCCATTCCTTGAGAGCCAGAATAATGGCCAACAACTCCCTGTCTCCAATCTGGTAGTTGCACTCTGCAGAGGAAAGCTTCTTGGAGTAGAACCCACAAGGAAGTAGGGTCCCTCGGGTGACCGACGCTGGGACAAGAGGGCGCCTACTCCTGTCTCAGATGCATCAACCTCGAGAACAAAAGGCAACCCAGGATTGGGATGAGACAGAATTGGGGCCGAAGTGAAGGCGGCTTTCAGAGCCTTGAAAGCTGAGATGGCCTCGGGTGACCACTCGTGAGGGTTACTGCCCTTCTTGGTCAGATCTGAGAGAGGCTTTGCCAATGCTGGAAAAGTTCCTGATAAATTTTTTCCGATAATAGTTGGCAAATCCCAAAAAAGCGCTGAATGGACCGAAGACCACTGGGACGAGGCCACTGCAGAACCGCTGAAACCTTCTCAGGGTCCATAGAAAAACCCACCGGGGAAATGATGTAGCCTAAAAAGTCAACCTGGGACTGGTGTGAAATTCACACTTCTCGAGCTTACAGAAAAGCTTGTTTTCACGTAACCGTTGCAGCACCCACTTAACATCCTGGATATGAGTCTCCATAGATGCAGAGTAAACCAGGATGTCGTCCAAGTAAACCACCACGCACTGCTGCAACAAGTCACGTAAGACATCGTTAATAAACTCCTGAAAGACCGCGGGTGCGTTACACAACCCGAAGGGCATAACCAGGTATTCATAGTGGCCCGGTTCTGGTGTTGAACGCGGTCTTCCACTCATCGCCCTCCTTGATCCGTACAAGGTTGTAGGCAGCCCTAAGGTCGAGCTTAGTAAAGACCGTTGCTCCCTTGAGGCGGTCAAACAACTCGTGATCAACGGAATAGGATAAGCATTTTTAATCGTGATCCGATTGAGAACCCCTAAAATCAATGCAGGGTCTCAGCTCACCTCCCTTCTTTTCACAAAAAAAAACCCAGCTCCTGCTGGAGACGTAGACTTGCGAATGTGCCCCCGGGAAAGCGCATCCGCAACGTATTCCTCCATGGCCTGATTCTCTGCCACCGAAAGAGGATACACCCTGCCACGCGGAGGAGTAGCACCAGTTTGTAAGGTTATGGCACAATCGTATGGACGATGAGGAGGCAGAGCACCGGCGCGCACCTTGTCAAACATGTCCAGGTACTCCCCATATTCAGTGGGCAGCACAGAGTCCGAGGAGGTGCACAGTACCTTAACCGGACCACGGATGCAACCAGCCCCCACACTCCGTGGTGACCATGAGAGAATCTCGGCCGATCGCCAATCCAAAGGTCGGATTGTACCTCTGAAGCCAGGGATAGCCCAAAACCACGGAGTAGTGCGGGGAAGAAATTACCTGGAAACAGGCCAATTCCCTTGTGAACAGCCCCAATAGCTACCTCCACCCGGCAGGGTCTCGTGGGTAACCTGCGATGGCTGCAAGGGCCTGCCATCTATCGCCTCGAGAACCAATGGAGTCTCTCGAGCCTGCAGAGGAATGGAGTACTTGGGCCGCAAACGAGCTGTCCATAAACAAACCGCCAGCCCCAGAGTCTACCAGCGCCTGGGCCGTCACCGAGCCTCCTGCCCAAGAGAGGACAACGGTGATAAGCGGTTTATCTCTTACGGGAAACCGGGGACGAGGAAACTCCACCCAAGATCTGCCCCCGACAGGATCTCAGGTGCGGGGTTTCCCGGACGGACCGGACAGGACTGCCGAAAATGCCCCCCGAGTCCACAGTACAGGCAGCGACCCTCCCGACGCCGAGAGGCCCGCTCCCCCCTCGGAAAGGCGAGCAAACCCCAGCTGCATGGGGCTCACTACCAGACAAACCATCCCCAGGAAGCGTGGGAGGAGAGGGAGGCACGGGTGGGACAGAAAACGTAGGCGCCAAACGGTTTAGGAGGCCTCCGCAGCCGCTCCTTAAATGAAGGCCTCTCTCTGAGGCCTGGTGTCAATCAAGATTAGGAAGGAGATGAGTGCCTCTAACTCCACAGGCAGTTCTTTGGCTGCGATCTCGTCCTTCAACGCATCAGAGAGGACCATGAGAGAGAGCAGCCACTAGAGCCTCATTGTTCCAACCCACCTCTGCCGCCAAAGTACGAAATTCGATGGCGTACTCGCAACGGTTCGTGAACCCTGATGCATGGACATGAGCAATTTGGCAGCAGAAGCGGAGGGAGTGAGTACGTCGAATACCGTACGGAAGGAGGCAACGAAACGGGTAAAACACGTGAATCACCGGGTCATTCCTCTCCCATAAGGGATTAGCCCAGGCCAAGGCCCTATCAGAGAGCAGCGAGATTAGGAAGCCCACCTTTTGCCCTCTCAGTAGGGAAAGCGTGAGGTATTAATTCAAAGTAAATCCCCACTTGGTTAAGGAAACCATGACACTGTCTCGGTTCCCCCCCCAAAGCGCTGAGGGAAGAGGGGCAGAACCAGTCATACCTCTGGGTACCGCGGGTTTCCGCAACAGATGCGGAGGTAGGTGCAACAACCGGAGCAAACAGTGGGAGAGTCCACCGGAGTAACAACTGACCTAATAGCCCCAGGGGTAAGGTGCGCTGTGCGTGCAAGCAGAGCCTGCAACGCCTGAGCGAACTGATCCAACAAGCGATCCTGTTGGTCAAGTCTGGCGAGTAACATAGGGATCGAAGGCGTACCTGCACCGTCAGGATTCATGGCACTTGTGTAATGTCAGGGCAGGTAACGCTGGAATGGGCAGGCAGGCCTATGGTACGGTCACACGCTGCGACTGACAACAGCCACTACCCACAGGACCAGAGTCCCTCAGGGCGCGGAGTCTAAGCCCCAGGCTAACCCTTCATCACCAGGGCCCCTGATGGTGGGGATGGACTTGACGCAGCCTGAGACCAGGTCGCGGCCCCCGAGTGACCCCAGCTCGATAACGACTGCCGCCAATGGCGTACAGCTGGTGGGAGCTAGATGGGAAACACGAGTAGAGTAGTCAGACAAGCCGGGTCAATAACAACGGAGCAGACAGTACTAGACGGTAGGCAAAGAATACTCAGGTCACGGGCCGGGTTCAGCAACGGGAGGTCAGATAAAGGGTTAACGCAGAGAGTAGTCTTGTCCAAGCCGAGTCGGTTTACCAGGAGAGCAATGGGAACAACACAAGAGCTTGCAACAGGGCAACATACAGGACACAAGTGCAGAGCACACTTGCAGACAGCAGGTTTAAATGTGCTCAACCACACCCTTCTGAGGAGGAGCCGCAGAAGCCTGAAGGCATAAAGGTTCCCACCATGCTTTGCAGAAAACCAAGATGGATGCCAGCTCATGGAGATGCACAAGCTCTGAAGAAGGGTAGGACCTTGACACATTGCCCCTATTACTCAACTCACTCGCCAGCATACACGTTTCTGCTGGAGTCAAGAAGCTCAATAGCGTTCGAGCAGTTAAAAGGTCAGTTCACTTCTGCTCCGGTGTTACAGCATCCAGACGAACACTTCCCTTCATCCTGGAGGTGGATGCATCTGAAGTTGCTACAGGAGCCGTACTCTCTCAGTGCCAGGGCCCAAAGGCTTTGCTTCACCCAATATCCTTTTGTTCTAGGAAACTGAGCCAATCAGAAAGGAAACTACGATGTGGGTGATAGGGAACTTTTAGAGATCAAGATTGCCTTCGAAGAATGGAGATACCTCTTGGAAGGAGCCAACCACCCAATTATGATTTTCACGGATCATAAAAATCTGAGTATCTATAAAATCCGCCAAGCGCCTAAGACCTCGGCAGGCTAGATGGGCTTTATATTTCTCCAGGTTTAATTTCCACATAACCTACCACCCAGGATCCAAGAACGGGAAGGCAGGTGCTCTTTCCCGTATGTTCCCGGACCCAGTGGAGCCTTCTCCCCCCAACACCATCTTGTCGGCCTAAAATTTTTTGATGATCCAACCCAGCCTAAAGTCTGCCGATCAAGCAAGCCTCTGCACTATGCCCCTGTACCCAAACAAGATTCGTTAAGAAGGCAGGGATGGTCTTCTTTGGCACAAGGATAAGATCTTTGTACCCTGAGAAGTAAGATCTCAAGGTTTCAGGGCTTTCCATGATCATCAACTGACTGGAGCCCGTAAAACAATGGAACTAATCCAGCGATCCTTTTGGTGGCACAACTTGAATCAAGACTGTAGAGCCTATGTGAAATCGTGCACAGTGTGTCTATGTAACAAGGGAGACAAAAAACCAAGGCTTGGGGGTTACTTAGACCCCTGCCCATTCCTGATCGTCCCTGGGAGATGGTCGCAATGGACTTCATTGTGGACTTACTGCCCTCTGAGGGGTTTACTACCATTCTGGTAGTAGTGGATCGGCTATCCAAGATGGCCCATTTCTTACCAATGGTGGGTACTCTCCATCTGTGCCAGAGACTGCACTGACCTTCATCAAAAGATTGTTAGGTTACATAGTCTGCCCTGTCATATTGTCTCAGACCAAGGGGTGCAGTTTACTTCCAGGTACTGGAGAGCCCCTGCAAGGCCTTGAAGGTGGAACTCTGCCTATTGTCCGACTACCATCCCCAGAGTAACAGGCAAATGGAGCGAATGAACCAGACTTTGGAGCAATACTTACGGTGCTTCTCTACTTTTTCACAGGATGATTTGGCATCCCTACTCCCATAGGCTGATTATAAAAAGCACTACAACAGGAAACGGAGAGGAAACCCTCCTCTGCAGATCGGAGACAAAGTTTGGCTATCAACTGCCAACCTAAAATTCCCTTGCCCATAACATAAGTTGGGACCAAGGTACATTGGCCCTTTCCGGATCAAGAGGGAAATCAATCCAGTGGCGTTTGAGCTATTTCTTTCCGGAATCATACAAGATCCATCCACTTTTCCACATCTTCCTACTCAAGCCAGCTGTTCCTGATCCTTTTTCAGAGAGAGTGAACCACATCCTCCACCGATAACAGTTGGGGAGGAAACGGAACACGAGGTTGAAGCAATTCTGGACTGCAGAAGGTGGGGAAGACAAATCCAGTACCTGGTCAGATGGAGGGGTACCCACCTGAAGAAAGTTCCTGGGAACCAAAAGGCAATGTACATGCCCCCAGGCTTCTCCAAGAATTTTGTTCCAAGTATCCTGAAAAGATGGCCCAGGTGGGCATCTGGAGGCTGCCCTTTGGGGGGGGGCACTGTCAGGGTCCTGTCCATGGCAGAAGTTCTGGAAGATCTGGGATTTCTGTCAGTACTCTGCATGGCCACAGATGTACACATCAGCCTCAGTTTGGTACCAGACGGCCTTTATAAGAGGCTCATCACTTCTTCAAGTTGCTGGATGATCTCTAGCTCCACGTGCCTTGTTCCTGTTTCCTGTGTTATTGTGACATGTGATTTCCTGATATCGACTCGGCTTGCTCTTGGACCTGTTTACTCTGCTTAATCCCTGATCTGACCTCGGCTTGGCTTATGGATACTCTCTCTCTCGCTCCTCTGTGTATGACCTCGGCTATCCCATCTGACTACGTCTGCTCTGATTCCCACCAGGTATCTGACCTTGGCTTGAACCGGCTATCCAGTAAATCTCTAAATCCCGGAAGGGCTTTTTTTTTTGCATACCTCGCTCAGGCGCCACCTGTCTTCAGACCTATCTGTGTACAACAGCTGTGCTTCTGGGGGACCACCAACCAGCACTCCTACAGGCGACCTGTGCCACTTTGGGCCTGATTTCCACTGTCCCACTCTCAGGGGGGAGTCTGGAACTGAGCCGCAAGGGAAGCCCTTTTTCCATTGGCCTCCATCACCAGGTACGTGATATTGCTTTGATCCACAATCAATGCATACAGATCTTCTGTGAAAAATAGCTCCAGAAATCAAGGGGAGTAGTTTAAATTTGCTGTTTCCACCTGAATTCCAGGTTGGGCTGTGAATGGGGGAAGTACGAGTACTGCAGAATTTGTGGGCTGCCAATCGGGATTTGCAAGCACATACAGAAGGATACTAGGGGCTCTATGGGCCTGTGTGCAAATTTCTTTGGAGGCTGCGGGACACTACTTGTGCTCAGCATTGCACCAACTTGTACTGCACTTATGGGACTCGCCACGTCACCAAGTGATACTGCAGTGCTGGTATGTGAAAGACCAGGATGTACTAGGCCGCAGGTGCTTACCAGTTCACCAAAAGGTTAGAGCAGCACTAGTACTGGCACTCTGCTGCATATGAGAGTCATCATGCGATTGTAACATCTCAGCAACCTGGGAGCGGGGTCGGGTACGCCTGACTTTAGCAGGGACCTCTTCTCCATCATCTAAGCTATCTGTCAGGGTGCTGCTGCTGTCTACAGGTTCGTATTCTGAGGCTGATTGTGTCAGTGAGTCTTCCCTTTCGCTCTCACCTGACATGCTCAGAATCCTGTAGGTCTCTTCACTTGA